GCACTGACCTAGTTATGGCTTCTGAAAGAACCTGTCTTGAGCAGGGAGCTTGAACTGGGCACTGGAGGAGCTAGGAGGCAAAGGCCCAGCCTGTTCACTGGCTAGAGAAATCCAAGGCTGATATCAGAGATCACATGATGAACACCAGGCAAGAGGGCTGAGAGATGGGCATCAAGGTCGGCCCTGGAGCCATGAGCTCCTTACATATGTGAGGAACTAGAAAGGGGTGGTGTTCCAGACAGTCGTCTTGCTCCCTGGCTTCCACACTCGCAGCCTACCTCTGGGAGCCAGCGGGGTGTTTTATACACAGATGAGTAAGGTTTGCTAACAGGGCCAAGGATAGAGTGATCAGAGTTGTGTTTCACAAAGATAATTTGTTAGGTACCTACTACATGCTAGATGCAGGTACTAATCCAATATTGTACCTGGGTTGCTAAGATTGCAACTTCCCAAGACCCCTCCCTTTCTGGGGGACAGAGTTAGGGCGCTTCGTAATCTTCCTCAGCATCCATGGTAACTTGGCCGCTGCCATTGCTTTGGTCGCAGCTGTGGCTGACTCTAAGCTTCTTTGATGTGGATGTTCTGCTCTGTTCTTCCTGTACTTCTGTTTCTTGTGTGGCTGCCTTTCCTCATGGCCAGTCCTCTTTTACGCACCACTACTCTAGGTCCAGCATTCTTTTTTATTTTTTATTGAGATGGTGTCTGGCTCTGTCACCCAGGCTGGAGTGCAGTGGTATGATCTTGGCTCACTGCAACCTCCATCTCCTGGGTTGAAGCAATTCTCCTGCCTCAGCCTACTGAGTAGCTGGAATTACAGGTGTCCACCACCATGCCAAGCTAATTTTTGTATTTTTAGTAGAGATGGGGTTTCACCATGTTGGCCAGGCTGGTCTCAAACTCCTGATCTCAGGTGATCCACCTGCCTCAGCCTCCCAAAGTGCTGGGATTACAGGAGTGAGCCGCCATGTCAGGTCATGGTCCAGCATTCTCAAAGCTGGAGGGTATCCCTCCTCATTCCAACTAATTGCAACTCTTGGGCGATCAAAGAGTCTTGCTTATTGTGTTTGGTGGTGGTTTCTGCCGAGACACTTGGGGAATGGGTTCTCCAGAATCAGAGCAGCTGGGTTTGTAGAGGGCAATTTTTGATGGCACAGCGACTTGCTGAGGGAACAGCAAGAATTCTTGAATTCTTCACTCACTCTGAACCAGGGTCTGAAGGTGGATCATGTGTACAGTGACCACATAATTTGTGGTCCGAGCTGAGATAATTTTGAGAATGAATGGAAGTGCTATGAATAATGACACCAGTGCAACAGGGGTCCCTGAGATTGCCGTTCTGTTCTTCCTCACGTGTGCCTGATCTTTTTAGGGGTAGTGTTCGGTGATTAGTCTGACAGTTTCTTCTTCCTTTTTCTTTTTTTGGTTTAAAGACAGAGTCTCACTCTGTCACCTAGCCTGGATTGCAGTAGCACAATTACAGCTCACTGCAGTCTTGAATTCCTGGGCTCAAGCAATCCTCCCATCTCAGCCTCCTGAGTACTTGGGACTACAGGCAAGCCACCACCACACTCAGCTAACTTTTAAACATTTTTTGTAGAGATGGGGTCCTGCTGTGTTGCCGCGGGTGGTCTTGAACACTTGAGGACTGAGCTCAAGCAATCCTCCCACCATGGCCTTTCAAAGTGCTAGGATTATAGGTGTGAGCCACAGCACTCCTCCTGACAGTTTTCTTATGTTCTCCCAGGAAAACCTAGGAAGTTCTCATGTGAATCCCATGCCTGCTGAACTGCTCAGATAAAACAAAAATAGTAGCTAACATTTATATAGCACTTACCATATGTTAAACACTGTTCTGTGTGTTTTGCATTTGTTAGCTTATTCAATCTTCCCAATCCCATGAGATTGGTATTCTATTTTTGTTTCCATTTTACAGATGGAAAAATAGGAGCACAGAGGTTAAACAGCTTGTCTAAGCAGCAGAGCCAGGATTTGAACCTAAGAGGCTCCAGAGCCTGTGCATATGAACACTGCACCGTGCTGCCTCTGCCCCACAGCCTTATAATTTAGTTCCAACCAACATTTATCAAGGACCTGCTATGTGCCTGAATGTGTGCCGAGTACTAGTGGTGCCAAGTCTAATGGACATGATGCCTTCTGTGGTTCAGTTCCCTATCAGGGAAGATGAATGAGGCCTGCCCTTGTACTGGGAAAATAATCTCTAGGGTGTCCTGTGGGCAGGGCCAGCTATACCATCATGCAACGTGCAGATTTACATTCAGCTCACAGGTTATCGTATTTGGATGGCTACTGCTGAATGACCTTAGTTATCAGTTCTCAGACTTCTGCGTTATGGGTTGTCCTTTGAACCCATAATTAAAATCTTTCAATCAGAGGAAATGCTCCCAAAGCCATGTGCACTATTTGTGAAACTACCAAGGGAATGTTCTCAGTAGACAAGGAAGGTTAATGAGAGCACACTGGTGGCTTGGTTTGTGACTGCCTCTTGGCAACCCCATGCTGTTACCCCCATCTTGTTTTGGAGGTACACCAAACATCTTGTTTTGGGGACTTTGCAGAAAGAAGAGGGGAGCAGACTCTCCAGGGACAACAGTTTTTCCATTTATTTCCTTAAGAAGTATGATGTATAGGATGGCGATGTGCAATTCTGACTACCTTACTATGGTTTCTTCTAAGAATTCATGATGTTGAAAACAGGCGTTTGAATAAAACAAGGGGAAGGTTTGCATCTTGGCGAGGTACAAGAGCTTTTTTTTTTTTTTTTTTTTTTTTTTTTTGGCATGAGCACGTGTGTGAGAAACAGAGCGCTTATTGTTCGGCGTATCAGGGCTCTGTGCCGGTCAAGGAAATGCTGATGAAGTACTTATGCTCAGTGGAGGGGTGAGGAGTGGGAGGTCCTCATGAGATGGGTTTATTTAGCCTGCCCTTCGAGACAGCCTTCCAACCGTGTAAAGGCGATGGTGTATGTGTGCATGCCTGTGTGTTTAAGATTAGAAAAATTACAGAAATGTACAAGAAGCCCTCGTGCCCTGACTGTCCCTAGTTCATGGAATTGTTTGCCTGCTTCGGTTCACATCGTGCTGCACTATGTACAAAGCGCACGAACATACCCTGTCTCATCCGAGACTGTTTTATTTGAAAAACTTTGAAGGAAGTTAGGATATTAAAACAGTATGTTTCCAAATAGGGCATTTCTCAAGCACGGCTTTCCCTAAATGAAGGAGTATGTAGTGTGCTGAAGCTAACTTGTTATCAAACCAAATTGATCATTGTTCATTGAGTGCCCATCTGATGAGGGTCCGTGTATTGAGCACTCGGTAGGGGTTGGGGATTGGCTGGTGATTAAATGGATCATACCACCTTATACTGACTCATGGAGGTGGGTGATCATTAGCCATTTTACAGATGGGGAGAGTGAGACTCAGAGAGAGTAGACAACTTTTTCTAAAGTAGTAGAACCAGGATCCAAGCCCAAGCTGGTCAGGCAGCAAAAACTAGACATGGGACTACCATGTTTTCTCCTGCACATGCTGAAGGGACCTTTAGATGAAGTTCCCACAGATAGGTTCACATTCAAATTAATGAACTTTACACCTGGGATTGGAAATTCCTAGAGAATCGGGTAAAGTGTGTGTGTGTGTGTGTGTGTGTGTGTGTGTGAAAGAGAGACAGACATTTGCTAATACAGATTAAACATAGTCACAAATCTTAATAGATTTATTCTCCACACTTTATTTTATTTTATTTTTGAGGCAAGGTCTAACTCTGTCGCCCAGGCTGGAGTGAAGTGGTGTGATCATGGCTCATTGCAACCTCGACCACCCCAGGCTCAGGAGATCCTCCTTAGTAGCAGGGACTACAGATGGGCACCATCAAGCCCAACTAATTTTTTTATTTTTTGTTGTAGAGACAAAGTTTTGCCATGCTGCCTAGGCTGGTCTTCAACTCCTAGGCTCAAGCAACCCTCCCGCCTTGGCCTCCCAAAGTGTTAGAATTACAGGCATGAGCCATCTCACCTGGCCCTCCACAGTTTATTATAACATTTTTCATACAGACAACACAGTTGAATGAATTATATAGTGAACACATATACAATGGAGTGTCTGCTATTAATATTATACTAAAGCGATTTTTATCTAGCTATTATCAATCATCTATTTATCTCTCTAATTTGTCTATTCATCTATCCATCTATGAGTCTATATTTTTGATGCATTTCAAAGTAAATTGCAGACATCAATACACTTAACCCTAAGTACTTCATAATGCACATATATAACTAAAGTTTAATATATGTTTACAGTTTTTTTTTTCTTTTGATGTGGGATGTACATGCAATGAAATGCACCGGTCTTGAGTACATATTTACAGAGTTTTGATAAATACTGTGTAACTCAAATTTCTCTCAAGATATAAAATGTAACTATCACCCCAGAAGGTTCCCTCACACCCTTTCCCAGTCAATTTCTGCCTCTCTCCAGCCCCACCCCTCCAGAGACAACGACTGTTCTGACTTTTCCACCAATGACTTTTGTGTGAGGCGTCTTCCACTTAGCATAACGTGTTGATATTTATCCATATTGCTGTGGGTAATGTTGTTTGTTCCTTTTACTTGCTGATTGATATTTCATTATATGAATATTCTATAGTTGGTTTATTCATTTTTTTGTTGATGGACTTTTTCTAGTTTTTGGATTTCATGGATAAATCTGTTCTGAATATTATTGCATAAATCTTTTTGTAAATATATGTTTTTGTTGCTCTGGGTAAATGCCAAGAAGTAGAATTGTTGGGACAAAGGGTAGATATATGTTTATTTGTATAAGTAACTATCAAAACTTGGCACAGTGGCTCCGCCTTTCCAGTCCCACCAACAATGTATGGTATTGCTCCATGCCCCTGTCGGTGTTTAGAGTTATCTGTCCTTTTTAATTTAGCCATTCTGGTAGGTGTCTAGGTAGAAAACTGATGTTGATGACAATGGCAATAGTTATGATAGAGTGATAGATACCTCTCTGTAGCAAACTGCTGTCGATATTCCTTAGATTTCACTTGGAAGCTCATCATTTTGGCTATTGGGTCTGCTCTTAACTCTCTAAGTACCCACTCTAATGTTTTCTGATTGACAGATGGAAGTGCTCCCGGGCAGTACTGATTTTCAGGCTAATGCTCCTACTACAATCAGCTCACTTAGGGCTTCTTTGTGCAGTCTGGATGTCAGCTTTAACCCTTTGACAGTTCTTCGCTTTACTTCTTTGTCAGACAAACTTCTTAAGCCAGATTGCAATTTCTCTTCTTTTTCAGAGTTTTCACCTGGCAAAACGTTGATGATTTAAATGTCAAAAGAGGCAGACTCCAAATAAAATGCTGAACAAACAATTTTGAGGACTTAGACCTTTCTCTTCTGCCGTTACTATTTCTCAAGCTTCTTCTGATTCCCAGATAATGGGATGGAAAAAATGAGGTAGGGGTTGGAAGGACGGGCCTCTGCTCTTACATGTGCAGCTATGCTTCTGGGTCTCTTCATTCGTGTTGATTGAGTACCTTGAATTTCTGGGGCCTCAGTTTCCTCACTTATAGAACAGGGAGGCTGGAAGAAATGACATTTAGGACTTTCTGTCTTTCTGAAATTTCAAAACTAACTTTCTATGTTGTTAGAAGTTAAGAAATTTCTTAAAGCTTGGAGGTGAAGATATTGCTTTAAAAAATTATAAGTAATTCTTTAATATTTCTTACACCTTCTCCAATGGCTTAATAATAACCTGATATATTCATGGAAACAGGTATCACTTTTATATTTTGATTTAAGGGTTTCCTTAATTATGCCATTTACTGTTTTCAGATGCTGCAGTTTCACTCCGGTAGGATTCAGTCTCAAACTACAGAGGTACTGGGTAAGCTGGTATTTATTTTACATTTGTTCTGGGATTCTTTCAGACAGACTGGATGTTTGCACTGGACTCATTGACTTTTTCCCCACCACTTACATTGTCATTCTGTGCTATTCAGTTGTATTTTATAATTGGGTAGTTGCAGTAATGAGAAAGAAAAGTATGAGAAATGATGTTCAGGTGGGCTGCAGTACTCTGTCTGTAGGCAATCATTGTGAAGCAGGAAGGAAGGGGATGGGAATAGCTAGAGAGAATTGGCTTAAGGGGAAATAGCCCAAATCTCAGTTAAAACAAGATAAAGTGGAAGAGATAGAATCTCCTGATAAAGGTGTGTTCCCTTGCACTGCCGCTAATGCGCGGGAGCATTAAATGTGCGGGAGATTTTCTGGGGTTGTTATTCCCTGCAGTCTCAGGAAGAGAAAGTATCCCGGTCACAGAGGAAACCTTCAACTGCAGACAAACCACAGTCCCCAAATCCTCTCAAGCTATAAGGTTTCAAGCACGAAATTCTTGAGCAAACACACCAGGTGCCTCTCTGCATTGATTGTGATTTTTGGTGCTAAACAGAGAGCATTGCAGATGATGCTGAAGGTCAAATGAAGGTGGAGAAACCGCAAAACAGCACGACGCACCACCCAACTGCAAGCTAATTGGGAAGGAAATGGTTTCAAACTGACAGACTGTGGCCTGATAACCGAAATCTCATAGGGACAAAAGGTTCGTGTCATTTAAAGGGGTAGCTTTGCCTATTTAAATTGTGCAAACAAAAGAAATGAAAACCCCCTCCTGGGATGGGAAGTTCTATTAGCAGATATTACCATCCTTGCTTTTATGCCCTCCTGTGTCACAAGCCCTGAACATGTGCTGCGTGTCCTCAGGCACTCATTGGTTAATTTACTTATTCAAAGTAAGGCAACAACAACAAAAAAGCAACAGAAAAACCCCAAACAAATTACATACTGGGGCACAGACAGCATTAAGATGCAGTGCACAATTTTGATATGTGGGCTTTTAAAAGAAATGTGTTTGGTCTGAAATGGTACATATGTTAAACTCTGGAGAAAGTAAGACGCCTCCTACAGTGGTTCTTCTGGGAATTAAAAAAAAAAAAAAAATTCTTTGAAGGTATGACTGTATTGAGAACCAGGGGTATTTGATATATAATATCAGGTACTCCATTGTGGCCAAGAACAGTCAGTTTGGACTTGACTTTAATCAATGTTCCAGTAAAGGCACAGGAGAAGGCCAATTTTTCTATCATATGGATATGGTAGAAGTTAATTATATACTTAATTATATCCTTTGGTTTTGAAGTTTTTATGGAATTACTTCCAAAATAACCTTGTGTAATATATTCCCTTATATTTTAAAGCTGAGTTGTAATGAGTGAAATAATACAAAATAATTAATATTTTAAACTTGGCATTCAGTTGAGTCTTCAAAAGAAACCATTTGACAAACTATGATGACAATACTTTGGGGTTGACAAGGCCTACATTTTGCTAATGGGAATATTAAAGTGTAGAAAGATTAATGAACATATTCATGTCATGAGAGAAGCTGAGGTAGGGTTCCAACCAACCTTTTTCTCTTGTCTCAAAGATTAATTAATGAGTTTTTGTCTGTCATGGACTCTGATAGTACCCGTGTATTTTGTGTATCTTAATGTACTTATTAGTTCAGCATCTGTGACATCATAATATTTAACTTTGGTTTGATGACAAGTACTTGTGTTTGAAAGAAATAAATATGAGCTAGAGTAAGAAAATGGTAAATTCACAGTTACTTCCCATTTTATGCTTCCGAATGGAACATTCTTTCCAGAACAATGCTACTACTAATACTAATAAAAACAACCTTAAAGTAAAAAAAAGACTTGTTGCTATTGTAAAAAAAATTTGACACAATTTCCTTTGTGATTTATCTTTATTACATAATCATTGTTTCACAAGATTTCCCAAACTTGAGAGCATTAGACTCAAGAAACCCAAAGTAACCTGTAATATTTATTGTATTTAAAGGACTTTCCCATCCAGTTTAGCAGGCATGACAGGTCCATGGCACTTATCGGAAAGCTCTGGTCCATTTGAAGTTATCAATTGACCTACAGAACATTTAGAAACATACCAGTGATTGGTAAGTAAGCTTTTCTGAGGTAGCTATGATTTGGATGGCTGGCATGTGAATGCTAGCATTCCCATGAGAAATACGGGTTACTAGGCAAATTGAGTTTCATTAAACTCTGAACTCTGAGATGAGTACCAACTCTACATGCAAAAAAATAGTTATTTGAGGGAAAACTTTCCTGTCCTAAATTTCTCTCCTACCAATTTATCATAGTAGCAGAAATGACCAGTATTCACAGCCATTTCTTTGGTTTAAGGCTCTCTGTCCAGAAGGTCTCTATTAAAATGCAAATATGTTACTCAGAAAGGGCTACTCATCAATCCATTTGCACTTCAGGAAGGATTAGTTTATCAGATCAGAGGAGAGAAAATAAGACCCCAAGGAACAGGAGATAGAAAGCCTAGTCTGATTGGAAAAGAGGCTGGGTAAAGTATTTTCAACAGGCCCTTTGCTGTCTTGACTATGGGGCCTTTGTGAATTTATCTTCTATTGCTTTAAATACACCCTTGCTGCCATTGAAATTCAACTCTGCCTCAACTGTCCACTTCAATTCTTATCTTTTCTCTGCAGTATTTTTGAGCTACCTAGAAAGAAGTAAGCTCTCCTCCATCTGATTTCCTCACGTTCATTACCTGTATCATTCATTAGTCAAATTTTGTCTTTGGGCTGGTGTGATGGCTCATGCCTGTAATCCCAGCACTTTGGGAAGCAGAGCTGGGAGGATCTCTTGAAGACAGGAGTTCAAGGTTGCTATGAGCTGATTGTGCCACTCCAGCATGGTTGACATAGCGAGACCCTGCCTCTAAAAAAAAAAAAAAAAAGAGACAGGTGCAGTGGCTCATGCCTGTAATCACAGTGTTTTGGGAGGCTGATACTGGAGGAGCACTTGAGCCCAGGAGTTTGAGACCAGCCAGGGCAACATAGTGAGACTCTTGGCCCTATTTTTTAAAAATTTAAAACATGAAAAAAGTAAAAAAGAAAAAAAAAAACCTTGTCTTTGTTGTAGACATTCTTTCATTTGTAAGCATCTTATTCACCAACTTTATAGTCAGCTCCCAGTGTGCTCAGGAACCCAGTTAGTGATCTGAGGGACGAGAGAGGCTAACTTGGGTGAGAGCGGAGAGCAGCGACTGCTGCCTGTTCCTGAAGTATCCTGGGTTCTGTCATGATGCTTTTACCTGGATTCTTCCCTTTACCTCTTTCCTTTGGATTAGTGACTTTCTGGCGTTGGTTTTGGTTTTAACGTTCAGGTAGTCCTTAACCCATTGATCCAGAGGCCACACGCACTGTTACTTGTCAAGGCCTGAATCACTGCAGAGCCATTTTGCTAGTAGGGTGGCTGTTCCTTCATTCTGGTAGGCAGGTCTGTGCAATGAATGGATGCAGGTACCAGTACCACTCTGGGAATCACTATACCTCTTGCTCCTTGGTCATAAAAAGGGGTATTCTGGCTCTAGCAGGACACTAGGTATCAGGTTCTGGCTTGCAGGTCAATGCTGTGACAGAATCATGTCATTGGAAAATAATCCAGCTTCTGGTTAGCAGGTATAGTGACTCAACCAACCCAAGACCTGGTTTAAAAAAAAAAAAAAAAAGTGAAGAATAGGGACCAGGAGACAGGAAGATCAGTCAGCTGGTTACAAAATTCTGGGATGCAATAAGCTTTGATAGGAAGCCTGTGTTGTTGATGCATTATTTTAAAAATTTCTTACCTGGGTCATGTGGCCATGGCCCTCTTCAGCTGATTATATAGTAAGCTGTTGCTACTTTACACTTCTTGATATTCTGTTAGATCACTCAAGATTGTTTGGTTGCATGCAAGACAATGACTTCAGTAACCTAACTAAAGAGAACATTTAAGGGCTTTGTAAATAAAAAGCTAGGGATAAAATTTTAGATACAGCTTAATCCAAGACTCCCAATGCCATTAGAACCATGTCTCTCCCATTTTCACTTCTCCTCTCTTCGGGGTTGATGTTATTCTCAGGCCCAAAGATAAACACCGTCAGTGTCTGGCTTAGGTGGTTCTTACAGCACATGGTTGTGTAGCAGAAGGAAAATACTCTTTGTCACTCTCTCACTCTTCATAGCAATCCCTAGAAAGGGCTCTCATTGGTCTTACTTGGGTCACATAGTTGTCTATGCAGATAGGCCAGCCTGACTTGCAGGTCTACCATTTGCTGAGGACAGTGTTTTCTTTTTATTGATAACCCTGCCAGAGCTGCGGGGAAGAGGGAAGAGGCAGTCTTACAAAGAAACTGATGTAGGGAACCAACAAAGTAACAATGTCCAAATCACCCCACAAATGCCTTCACCTTATAGGTACTTAACTAATGTGTGTTGATAATGATGATGAAGTGTTTGCAGGAAAAGCAAGACTAGGGATCCAAAGAAGGGGATTCTGGGCATCTGGGGGCACATGAGGGTGCTGCTCGGGGTGTGGGAAAGGTCAAGGGCACTGAAAATGAGAAAAATTTTGCTCCAAAAGGAGGCTGGGAGCTAGGCACCTGTAATCCTATCACTTTGGGAGGCTGAGGTGGGAATTCGAGACCAGCCTGGGCAACCTAGTGAGACCTGTTTCTACAAAAAACCAACCCAACCCAAACCAAAACAACCAAAAAGAGGCTTGGGTGAGGGATGTTGCTCATAGTGAAGATCCAACCTTTTTAATTTCACACTTTTGCCTGTGGCTGACGCTGACTGACAGGAAAGTATTTGCTGAGCCAAATGACTCTATAAAGATAACATGCTTTCCAGCAATTTCCTTTTTGGGGGGATGGGGTGACATGGCACACTTCCTGGTTTTGATAAATCACCCCAGATAGCAGGAGGCTTTCGTTTGCTTATATACTAGATCAATTTAAGGTCTCAAACTGTGTATTATAATTAGCAATGCAAACCTCCAGAGAATCATCTCTTACTCTAAAGAAAATATTGTGTCAATCTAGTAGAGTATTCTCATAAGCTTTATTTTTCCTCATCCCTTTACTGAGTTCTTTAGATGTCCAAGCTGACTGAGAAAGCCACTCTTTAGAAAGTAGAATCTGATGTTGAGATCTCTTTATTAATAAGTGTAGGCCCAATGGTTGCAAAATTCTCTTCTATGTTTAATGGCCCTTTATTAATTAGTCCTCAGTATCACAGAAAGAATAAAAATTAGACTATGGTTCTATAGGAGGAAGAAAAAAATATCTGTTGGGACAATCTGAAGTATTGAGACTCTTTTTTTTTTTGAGACGGAGTCTTGCTCAGTCACCCAGGCTGGAGTGCAGTGGCGCAATCTCAGCTCACTGCAACCTCTGCCTCCAGGGTTCAAGCACTTCTCCTGCCTCAGCCTCCTGAGTAGCTGGGATTACAGGCGCCCACCACCACGCCCAACTAATTTTGTGTACTTTTAGTAGAGAGGGGTTTTCACTATGTTGTCCAGGATGGTTTTGAACTCCTGACCTTGTGATCCGCCCACCTCAGCCTCCCAAAGTACTGGGATTACAGGCTTGAGCCACTGTGCCTGGCCTTTTTTTTTTTTTTTTTTTTTTTGAGACGGAATCTTGTTCTGTTGCCCAGGCTGGAGTGCAGTAGCATGATATCGGCTCACTGCAAACTCTGCCTCCCAGGTTAAAGCAATTCTCCTGCCTCAGCCTCCCAAGTAGCTGGGATTACAGGCATGCACCACCACACCTGGCTAATTTTGTATTTCGTATTCACCATTTTAACCAGGCTGGTCTCAAACTCCTGACCTCAGGTGATCCACCTGCTTTGGCCTCCCAGAGTGCTAGGATTACAGGTGTGAGCCCACTGCACCTGGGGCCTCACTTCTCTTTTGTTGGAGCTCTCAGGAAAGTAGACACTTACTCTTCTCCACCAGTTAAAAGTAAGAGTACGTTCTGGAATGGAGTGAGTCCGTATGAGTGTGGAGCCAATCTGGAGGACAGCAGAGTCAAGAGATAGAGAAAGGGACACTGAATCTTTGGTGACATTTTTGAAGCCCTGATCAAGCTTTCCTAAAGTCTACTTCTGTGTGCTAATTATGTTCCATTTTCATAAGCTAGTTTGAGCTGGTTTTTCTCTTACTCCCAATCAAGAGTTCTGATAGTCACAACATATAACATTAGCCTTCACCCATCAAACAGATACTATAATGGTGAGGAATGGTTTCATGAGTTAAGACTGCTAAGATAAGCATTTGAGGTCCAGCATTTATTTTCCCCTAGTGATACTCGTCGCTTTTTCTTGACTTTCATATCACTAGGGTCCCATTCTGTGTGAACCTGCAAAAAAAAAGACCTTAATTAGTGACATTTCATATCTAGGTTGCAGTGTGTTCAGAGAGGACTGGGCTCGACGCAGGCGTTAGGAGAAATGTATATTGGTCATCTTGAGTGTAGAATTTCTACAAATAAGAGCTGACTCTACAGAAGCAGTGTGCTGGGTTAGAAAGAGCCCTGGGCAGGAGGCAGCAGAGAATGGGGTTGTGCCTCTATTAGCTTGTGACTTGGGGATAAGGAAGTTAAGTGGCCAGGGTTCAGCTTTCTCATTTATAAAACGAAGGGTCTGAGTGAAATGGTTTGGAAGATCCTTCCAGCTCGGAAGATGTATGACTTAATGAACTGAAGCACCCAATCAGCCCTTTCAGAGGAGTAGGAAGCTTCTCAGCCTCCTAGGATGCCCCTAATGTGGGGCGCCCTGTTGGAAGGAGGTTTCCAGTTTGCAGTGACTCACTTCAGAATGGGTAGACTGAGTAGTAATGGGCTTTACATCTGCATTCAGTGGCTGCTTGATTTTTAATTTACTTTAATTTATATTGTTTTATTTTTCATTTTTTTTGTGACAGAGTCTCACTCTGTTACCCAGGCTGAAGTGTAGTGGTGCGATTATAGCTCACTGCAGCCTCCAGTTCCTGGGCTGAAGCCCAAGATTAAATAGGCAGCTGCTATTTTATGAGAGGAGAAAAAATTACTGTGGGTGAACACACTTCCCTCATTCATTAATTTGAGGCAAAGAATCTGAAG